GATTGGCCAGAGGCGCGGTTGCTGCCATCGTTTGCATCCTCAGAATTCCTTAGATTTCGATGTTGGTGTGGGATGCGCAGATTGCGGCAACCGTGCAGGTACTGTACAGGAAGCTTCTCGGAAGTGGCGAGATGGACAGCGATTGGCCAGAGGCGCGGTTGCTGCCATCTGTTGCATCCTCAGAATTCCTTAGATTTCGATGTTGGTGTGGGATGCGCAGATTGCGGCAACCGTGCAGGTATGGGAAGATTCTCGGAAGTGACGAGATTGACAGCGATTGGCCAGAGGCGCGGTTGCTGCCATCTGTTGCATCCTCAGAATTTCTTAGAAGTCGATGTTGGTGTGGGATGCACAGATTGCGGCAACCGTGCAGGTATGTGAAGATTCTCTGAAGTCGGCGGGACGGCACGCCTACCGGGACGTCTTGCTGCCACAAGATTCATGGCTCCCATCCGTTCCAGTTGAATGGATGGGAGGCATGACGAAGGTACAGAAACGGGCTCGTCCGGAACAAGGAATGCATCAGATTCTAACGCGGCCAAATGCGCAGTGGCTAGCAAAATCACACGGCTGATGCTGCATGCCCAGCTTGTCAGCCAGAGAGGCTGATGTACAGAAACGGAGAGTGTCAGAGGTTCAACAATGTTCAAAGTGTTTCACTGGGCCAGCTCTGGAACTGCAGGCGAGTTAGCTGTTACGGTCGCAAAGGCTGTGTTCAAGCATCATCATCGTAAACCCCCGAAACTCCCGAAACACAAGGCAAACATGACAGCAACGAAATGTTGGTTGCATTGCAGCAGGAGCAGCGCAAAAGGATTGTGATGGCTTTTGCTTGCGCTCGGTTTTCTGGGTTGAATCATTGTCATGTGCTGAAGGAGCTTCTCGAAAGCAGTCCGCAAGGCTCCAGTGCTTCGACACCGGCACGTTTTTCGATCGACGCTTTACGTGGAGAGCAGATTGCAAGCTTGGGCTCAAATGTAAGTACGTTCCGTGAAGTTCCGTGCGCTTGTGGGAGGCTCACCTGTCGCGGCTGACGCCAGTTCAGGCTGCGGGTGTCAAGCCGACGTATTGACGTATTGACCCTCTTTCAGCTCATGCATCATGCAGCATCATGCATCTGAAATCCTGAGCAGTAGTGGAATAACCGGAAAAGTATTCGAAGGCAGCATCGAAGACTGTTCTGATGCAGGGCCTGGAAAACCACGCCTGTTGGGGCACCCGGCAACTTCAATGCGACTCTATAGACTCCTAGAGCCTGAAGCAGACTGTCAGGAAGAGCTCATGCATTGACCTCTCCGTTAAGAGTGTGCAGCTTCTGTTCAGTCCGGCATGCAGAGTGACAGGAGAATGCATGCCAAGATTTCAAATTTTCTCCGTTGGCTTCTTTGGCTCCCGGTTAGACATGGCACAGAAAGGCATTAGGCTGACCAGTTTTGCAGCACTGTAAAGACCGCTGCCTGTGCCCTGGTCTGCAGTCCGGTTGTGAGGAATTGCTTCCAGAGTGCATCAAGTGGCTGATGGGATATCCCCAGGCATGACTTTCCCAGCAGCAGAACAGCCGGCGTGCCAGGTGAAGTTCATGGCGTGCAATGCTCCTTCTGAGTTCGCTGGAGGAGATGCCTCGCCACGTGGCTTCGAACAGGAAAGTGTTGAGAGGAACAGCTGGGGCGCGGTTCGCAGAAGACGAGCATCTGACGCATCAGGAAATCCCAAATCGTCAACTTCAACTTTGAGCTGGAAGCTGGAAGTGCCACGAAGCAGGAGGGCAAAGAGGGTGAGGTGCTTTGCGAAGCTCAGGCTGCACTTGGGCCCTCTCGGTGACAGCACCACACCCTTCTCTTTTCCGCGGTCCGAGGTCAAAAGCACCTTCCTGGACATGGGGGATGGGCTCAGTCTCAAGAAACGCCCTTCGCTTGCAGAGCTGGATCTTCTGGTCGTTGATGCGCGAATCCCTCAAATCATCTGGCGTAGGGTTACGTCCGACTCAATAGTGCTAATCCTACAGAACCTCCCAAACCACAATTTTTGTAGGATGAACATACGAAAATAAGTGAACTCCAGGCTTGCAGGGAAAGTGGAAAACATGGTGAGAATCAGGCGGAAGAAGGAAACTAGGAGAACAACACAGATACATCGAGACAAAATTGGGAACAACTAGGAATATCTGGGGAAAAACAGGAATAACAGGGAACACATAGGGAAAACCCAAGGAAAAGCAGCCTTGGGTGGAAAGGAGCGCGGGAAGAGCGGGCCGGGGTTCTATGTCTCCTTGTTTACCTCTATTTCCGAAAACTAAGATTCCTATTTATAGCCTATTACGGGCCATGTTTGCGATCTGACTTGAGTTAGCGCCAGAGTCAGACATAAGCTTAGGGCCGGAGGCACTTGCATGATTTAGCAGAAATGGAAAGACATTTCCCAGCCAAGGATTCCGGACCTTTCGCAAGGCCGGGCCGGGGGTAAGCGCAGCAAAACATCCCACATGTGCAGGTTACGTTACGGGCTCAGAGTTTACTCAAAGTTTAAGATTGGCTGTTTCAGCTTTTCTGCGGCTGCTGCTACTGGGAATATCGCTGATACAACCACTGCGTGCAATAAAGACTGCCCTCCATTATCGCAGTTGCCGCCAGTAGAAGCAATCATGATCTTGTTGTATCTTGCTGTAGCATTGTCATCGGGGTCGTAAGTGCAGTAATTACAATAAAAGCAACCTTTAGCAGAATGCGTGGTGCTTGCTACGCATGCTGAGGCCTTATGATGCTTTATTTAGGAGAGCTAATTCTCGCAATGGGGGTGGAGATGGGATGGGTGGGAGGAGCGCGACTCGACCAGAATATACACACGCATGTGGCAGACCTGAGTCTCGCTTGCATGGCTCGCTTCCCAAGCTGATTCTAGTCGCGAGAGGCCTCTACAGATGGAAACCTGGACGACGGAGAGGGCCCAGAGGAGCCTTGATCTGTTGGATTCAGACTGTGTGGCAGTGTTGTGTTGCTTGCACGGATCTTGCGAGATGTATTTGCCTGGCCAGGTCTACGAGCCAGGCACATTTTCCCCTGAGAGTGTCGTCGAGGGCTTGGCATCTGCGCTTTTGTGAACACGTCCGCGTTGCGTTCTCTGGAGCTGAGCTGAAGGATCGCTCGGAGTCGGAGGACTCAGGGATAAAGGCCGATCTGCCTGGGGCTTTGAATAAACGAGTGTCGAACGGTCGAACTTGCAAGCTCACGGAGGGTCGTCCCACCATGACGTTGTAGAGTCTCTAGAGAGCGACACTGCCACATGGCCTTGCCTGCTTATACCGTCCTGCACCTGGTAAATCTTGGGCGAAGCAATGCAGAGCAAGAGTTGCAACAGCTGCATGCCGCAATGCCTGCACCTTCGTCTTGCCCGCAGACTGGCGCGACAACGCCCACAATGCCCTCTGGAGCGGAGGTCTGCTTTTTTCGGTGGCAGGGAAGAAGGAAGAGACCTTTGCTACTTGTCGGACTCATTGGTTGCAAGGGCACCGAGATAGTTGGTGTGGCCTCTGCATCCTATACCCGCAAATGCACGCTTCGAATTGTAATCCTTGCAGGACAACAGCGAACCTGAGACCTGTGAAGAAAAGTTCGAAGAGGAGTCGGAAGAAGCAGCACTGATGCATGGCTGTAGAGACCACGCCTGCGATCCAAGAAGGAGCACGGCGAATCGCCAAAGCAGGCGGGCCTTGTGCGTCCAGCTGTTGGGTCAAGCTTGCAGATGCGAAGTTGGGGGTGATTTCGGGTGGCCCGATCTCGACACCTGAGCTCTTAGCCAACATGCTGCCATCTGTGCGAGTGCCCGACACAGCGCAATCCCTGCGCAATCCTCCCAGCAGAGTCAAGCCGAGCAGGTTTCATGCTTCTCTTTAGTTGCTACGTGAGAGCCGTTTGATTCACAGGATTCAAACCGAAGGAGGCCGCGCACAACGGTGATGATGCGAAATCTGCCCAATAACTACACAAGGCCCGTGTCTGCATGTGCGGCACTGCAGCAAGCAGCATGTACCAAATGGCTGCGCAGGTCCATGCTGCTACAGCTACTTGATTCACGCGACTTCGCCGGGCAGTACGACTTTCTCTACCTCCCGATCGACTTCACGCGTAGGGCCAACCTTGGTTACGCCTTCGTTAACCTTGTCAGTGAGGACCGCCAGCTGTGCCGTGTGTTGTGGTGCTTCGTAGATGGCATGTGTTACGGATTCCCTGCATCAGGAAGCCGTTGCGTCGTTTTGGGAGCTCTTCGACGGGTTCAGCGCATGGTCCTTCCCTTCCTCGAAGGCTGCAGCTCTGTTGTAGACCGCTTCCGTGAGACGCGGTCTCGGCAAAGTCATGTAAGCTTCTCCTTGCTTGTCGCAGGTTTGTGAGGTGTCCTGGAGCGGTCCGAAGCAAGGGTTCAAGGCCCACGTGGACCGCTACAAGAATAGCCCCGTGATGCACAAGCCACTGGGCATTGGCACAGCCAAAGTTTGATGTCTGTCGAGGGGTAAGGCTTGCCTTCACGGTCATTGTAGTTATTGTAGTTGTAATGACCGTTGGCATTTTCCATTGTGCAGCTTAAAGTCAAGACTGTGATGCAGACAGTCGGCACTGAGTGTCTCTTGCGAAAGTGGCTGTCCAGGAGTGTCCCTGATGAGTACAAGCCCATGATATTCGCCAACGGGGTGCGCAAGAAGTTTCCTGCTCCAACAATCCGAATTCAACACCCAAAGAAAGCTGGAAAGCAATGATTCCGGATCGTCGTGCCGCATTCCTTCATGTCTGAAGCTCGCCTGCGCTGCTGCTTTTCGGTTCGGGATGGGTGGCTTTCAGGCGTTGGAAGGCGCGGGAACAGGGTACTGAGTACTGAGTTGCAGCCTGTTTCTGTGCAGCTGCTGTCTTCGAGTGATGCGCAGTGTCTAAGGACCCTACAACGGACTGGCTGCCTAGAGGGTTGCCTGGTTCACGTACTCACAATGACCGCAGAGTCCAAGAATCAGCTTGGTCGACTTGGCACTGTCTTCATGCGAAGCAAGTCAGTTTTGGTCACTTCATTCTGCTGTAGCTTGGACTCGCATAGGCTTGTGAGAAACTGTTCTTTACCAGTCTGTGTCAGGCTCATGACTCCATGCTGGAGTGCCTAGTGTCGGAGACTGGGTAAGGTGTCCGGTTTGTAAAGCCACCCTGGACTCTACCCGCCTTTCCAAAGTCTTGGCATGGCAGCCTCTACTTTGGCTGACTATGCTATTGGAATTCTGCACAAATTTAGTCGTGCATGTCCTTTGATGTCGTTCCTTCATGTTGTGTTTGCTGCTTTATTGCCCGAGCAGAGCAGCGCCACGTTTGATGCCAGCGAGACTGACAACAGTCAGTTGGCAGAGCGTGATGGCCTGTAACATTGCTTGCATCAGAGACCACGTGCCACGAGTTTGTCGAGGCGGTTTGCAAGCAAAGGATATGACATTTTCTCGTATTGTCAACCTGATGACAGATCTGGGAGATGGTGGGTGTGTGTACTTGACCGAGATATCGGAGAACAGTGTGATCCCACTAGTGATCTCAATCAGGAAGATGCCTGCACTTACCAAATTTTTGGTATACTTTGGAAAGCCTGAGCAACAACAGCATCGGCGTCCAATCCACCCGAAGACAGAGCCGCTGGCAAAAGGCATCAAAAGGCTCGTTTTGCGTCCCAGAAGTTTTCGTCTCTTGCCGGGGCAGCACTCATGGCAGGGACCTGCAAGCATAGTTGGCTCAAGCTCCCTGGCTGGAAAAAGGCAAAGCGAAGATGCAGGCCGCCGAAGGGCCGAAGATGGTTGAAGGTTTTTTTCACGACGTAGGCTTTCGAGCACCAGCCTGCTGCAGGCCGCAAATTCGCAGATTGTGGTGGTCGCTGGGTGGCAAGGTGATTCTCTGCAAGAGAAACGGCCCTTGCACTGGCTGAGGTGAAGTCGACCTTCGTGGACTTGAAAGAGGGCCTCAGTTTGACTGAGATGTGGCGCCAGCTGCGCCAGAGCAAGTCGGACAGTGCTGCATTGCGTTCAGCCACGGCCAGTGGTTGCAGAGGCAGCATTGCGGCCTGTGCCGTGAGGAGTCAAACCTCTTCGACCTCGTGGAGGAATCCTACACACCAGGAAAATTTAGTGACGAGCAGGAGATCGGAAGTGGGCACTTGTTCGATGTCCTCCCCAGCACTGCTCTGCAGGAGGAGC